AAATTTGACCAACCAAGTCTTCAATTTCACCTCATGTTGTTACAGAAAAGAATTTTCGTAGCTGAGAATCTTCTTTTCTTTCCAGGTCACAGCTCATGCTCATTTCTTTTTTGATTATAATTCTCACATTATTCTCTCCCATCACTGATGAGAAATTAGTTAGTTTTTCAATAAAATTCCAACATGCCCGGTCTCTCAAATTCGATGGCAGTACAAAAATCGTACAATTTTATGGCCCACTAACGGTGCGAAATTCAAAACAAAAATTATTAGTTACAGTTTTCTAATGAACATTCTTTCGAAATTCAACCCATGTATGGCCTGCATAAGTCAGTAGGTCAGTGATTCATGGCCTGGACCAGCCGATCAGCTGGGTCCAATCACAGCCCAGAGCTCTGTGTTGACAAACAACACATGGCTCTGTACAGAGGAAACGATCTCTGAAACAAGGCGATCTTTAGCAAAAAGCAGCATACATTACACATTGTTAGGCACACCCTTTAATTGCCCTTATATGTTACCCTCTTCCCAGCCAGTGCCATTAGTATATTACTAGCACTGATCACAGTATTAGTGTCACTAGTGATGTCAGTGGCAGCTAGTTCCCACAAAGTGTCAGTTATTGTCAAAATACCCATCACACTATCACGGTTCCACTATAAGTCACAGATCACCATTACTAGTATAAAAATTTTTTTCCAGTAAACTGTACCATTGTTTGTAGACATAACTTTCATGAAAACCATTTAATATACGCTTACTGGGATTTTTTTTTTTACCGAAGACATGTAGCAGAATACATTTTGGCCTAAATTTATGAAGTACCGTATTTTCACTCCATAAGACGCACCTGACCATAAAACGCACCTAGATTTTAGAGGAGGAAAACAAGAAAAAAAGAATTCTGCAGCAACGGACTGCAGACATAGTACAGGAAATGACCAGAGACTGCAAGCATAGTACAGGAGAAGACCAGAGACTGCAGACATAGTACAGGAGATGACCAGAGATTGCGGACATAGTACAGGGAATGACCAGAGACTGTGGACATGATTAGACACTGCGGACATGCTACAGATGACCAGAGACTGCGGACACAGTACAGGAGATGATTAGACACTGCGGACATACTTCAGGAGATGACCAGAGACTGCGGACATGCTACAGATGACCAGAGACTGCGGACACAGTACAGGAGATGATTAGACACTGCGGACATACTTCAGGAGATGACCAGAGACTGCGGACATACTACAGGAGATGACCAGAGACTGCGGACAGAGCTACAGATGACCAGAGACTGCGGACACAGTACAGGAGATGATTAGACACTGCGGACATACTTCAGGAGATGACCAGAGACTGCGGACATACTACAGGAGATGACCAGAGACTGTAGACATAGTACAGGAGATGACCAGAGACTGCGGACATAGTACAGGAGATGACCAGAGACTGCGGACATGCTACAGATGACCAGAGACTGCGGACACAGTACAGGAGATGATTAGACACTGCGGACATACTTCAGGAGATGACCAGAGACTGCGGACATACTACAGGAGATGACCAGAGACTGTAGACCTAGTACAGGAGATGACCAGAGACTGCGGAGATAGTACAGGAGATGACCAGAGACTGCGGACACAGTACAGGAGATGACCAGAGACTGCGGACACAGTACAGGAGATGACCAGAGACTGCGGACATAGTACAGGAGATGACCAGAGAGTGCAGACATAGTACAGGGGACGACCAAAGACTGCGGACACAGTACAGGAGATGACCAGAGACTGCGTACATACTACAGGTGATGATCAGAGACTGCGGACATGGTAAAGGAGATGACCAGAAACTGCGGACATAGTACAGGAGATGACCAGAGACTGCGGACATAGTACAGGAGATGACCAGAGACTGCGGACACAGTACAGGAGATGACCAGAGACTGCGGACACAGTACAGGAGATGACCAGAGGCTGACAAGACATAGTACAGGAGATGACCAGAGACTGCGGACACAGTACAGGAGATGACCAGAGACTGCGGACACAGTACAGGAGATGACCAGAGACTGCGGACACAGTACAGGAGATGACCAGAGGCTGAGGACATAGTACAGGAGATGACCAGAGACTGCGGACATAGTACAGGAGATGACCAGAGAGATGTGGACACAGTACAGGAGATGACCAGATACTGCAGACATAGTAGAGGAGATGACCAGAGACTGCAGACATAACACAGGTGATGACCAGAGACTGCGGACACAGTACAGGAGATGACCACAGACTGCAGACATAGTACAGGAGATGACCACAGACTGTGGACACAGTACAGGAGATGACCAGAGACTGTGGACATAGTACAGGAGATGACAACAGACTGCAGACATACTATAGGAGATGACCAGAGAGTGCAGCCCTTTGGGGAGGAGGGGGGGTGGGTACCCGAATTTGACAGTTACCTGCTCCCACTTCTGCGCAGTTGTCCTCCCCCCCCTCCTTGTATTCTTCTGGGACATGTGACAGGTCCCACAAGACTACGGGGCCATTCACAAAGCGCAGTGCTTCGCGAGCATGCGCAGTGGGCACCCGGCTGTGAATCCGCAAGCTGTCGCAGCAGGGTGCCCATACTGAAGATGCTGGTGTCAGGAGAGAAGATGGCTGATGGAAGCAGGACACCACTGGACCGAGGAACAGGTGGGACACAGAGGAATGGGTTCTTCTGCACAGTAGGCCGGCCCGATATTCTAACACGGCGGCGGCAATACCGGGCCGGCCGCTCCAAATTCGCTCTATAAGACGCTCAGACATTTTCCTCCATTTTTTGGGATGCAAAAAAGTGCGTCTTATGGAGTGAAAAATACGGTAATTCGATTTTTTTGTATTATTGGATATGTTTTATAGCAGAAAGTAAAAAATATATATATTTTTTTGTTTATATAATAAAAAAAATTTAAAACCCAGTGGTGATCAAATACCACCAACAGAAAGCTCTATTTCTGTGAAAAATTATATAAATTTCATCACGGTACAGTTAACAGTTAAAGTAGCGAAGTGCCGAATAACAAAAAAAATGGCCTGGTCATGAAGGGGGTAAAACCTTCCAGAGCTGAAGTGGTTAAAGTACACATACTCAGCATGTAACAGTGCATATGATGAATAGCAATGTGGTTTAGGTAGAGAAGAATGAATAAATACATACATAGAATGCCTGTGCCACAATACGACCAGAGAAACAGTTGTAAAATAAAATGTTGACGACAAGGCACTAAATGGTCTTACTAAATATCATGAATCAGTGTGGAGCTCAGTTTGGAGGAGTGTGTAAGTACATCCCTGTTTGATATGTTTTAAAGTGTTACTAAACCCACAACAGTAAAATCAGTCTGTATATGCAGTAAAGCATGCTTGTTATACTCACTGTGGAGCCTAAAGGGTTAATCCTCTGCATTGTGTAAAAAGGTCATTTGATCCTGTCTTCTCTGCTCCTCCTCTTGTTCAAATGTCCACATCTTATCTCCTGATAAGGCAGACTGAACTGTAGCCATTCTGCACATGCTCAGTTTAGTGTGTATTGCTAGAAAGTTTTTTTTTTTCTTCTTGGGAGAGTGCATGTGATCAGCACAGGGCCAGTCAGCACTGTCCAGATAGCGGTCAGGGTTTTGCATTCTCCTAAAGCAGAAAGAAAACTCCTACATGCTTTAACCAGTGTCCGGCTGAACACTGATAGAAGTCACAAGACTGCTCTAACTGCTGATGAGTAAAAGGTATTTATCAGTTTATATTTACTAAAATAATTGCATTTCCATGTTCTGTGTACTGTGGGAGACCAGATATAGTGAATGCAGGGTCCTGGCTTTAGTAACACTTTAAATCTGGTAGGGTTGAGCAAGGTAGGGGGCAGCAGTACAGGGGGAGGGAGCATGAAGAATTAGATCTTCATTCTTGCTTCACTCACTAAGTGACACATTTACAAAGCAGTAAATTTGGCATTCTTCAAATCACAGTGTATATTACTAGCACTGATCACTATATTAGTGTCACCGGTGATTCACTGAAAGCAATTCTTCCTATTGCATGTGTTTTAAACTTCAGGGATTGAGTCAAAGCTTGAATGCCTGATGGATGCCACATTCACTAATTTATAAATATGTCCCTAAATATGTCATTACAATTAGGTTGATTTATAAAAGGAGTAGAGAAGGTTAGATTTACAAAGTCAATGTTCACATAATTAGAGGATGGAGGTGAACCCAGCCCCACATTATTCACTAACTTACCGTATTTTTCGCACCATAAGACGCACTTTTTTCCCCCCCAAAAAGGGGGGAAAATGTCAGTGCGTCTTATGGAGCGAATATAAAGCGGACCGGTCCGGTATTTTTGCACCACCATGTCAGAATACCGGGCCGGCCGCTCAGCTGTTGTCTCCTGCAGGGCCTTACCTGTTCATCGCTCCAGCGCTGCACAGTCTTCCCGCGCTGGCTTCTGTGACAGCCGGGTGCCCACTGCGCATGTGCTGCGCTTTGTGAATGATCCGGTGTCTTCTGGGACACATGAAGGGTCCCAGAAGGCGCCGGGCCATTCACAAAGCGAAGTGCTTCTCGCACCTGCGCAGTGGGCACCCGGCTGTCACAGAACGGCCCGGGAAGAAGAGGAAAGGCAACTCCGCGGAAGTGGGAGCGGGTACCTGTCAAATTCAGGTAACCGCTCCCCCCTCCCTTCCCAAAGGTCAGCAGTCTCTGGTCATCCCCTGCACTGTCTGCAGTCTCTGGACATCCCCTGCACTGTCTGCAGTCTCTGGACATTCCCTGTACTGTCTGCAGTCTCTGGTCATTCCCTGCACTGTCCGCAGTCTCTGGTCATTCAATGCACTGTGTCCGCAGTCTCTGGTCATTCCCTGCACTGTGTCCGCAGTCTCTGGTCATTCCCTGCACTGTGTCCGCAGTCTCTGGTCATTTCCCTGCACTGTGTCCGCAGTCTCTGGTCATTCCCTGCACTGTGTCCGCAGTCTCTGGTCATCCCCTGCACTGTCCGCAGTCTCTGGTCATTCCCTGCACTGTGTCCGCAGTCTCTGGTCATTCCCTGCACTGTCCGCAGTCTCTGGTCATTCCCTGCACTGTCCGCAGTCTCTGCCACTGTCATTCCCTGTACTGTGTCCGCAGTCTCTGGTCATCCCTGTACTGTGTCCGCAGTCTCTGGTCATCTCCTGCACTGTGTCCGCAGTCTCTGGTCATCCCCTGTACTGTGTCTGCAGTCTCTGGTCATCTCCTGCACTGTGTCCGCAGTCTCTGGTCATTCCCTGTACTGTGTCCGCAGTCTCTGGTCATCTGCACTATGTCCGCAGTCTCTGGTCATCTCCTGTACTATGTCCCGCAGTCTCTGGTCATCTCCTGTACTATGTCCGCAGTCTCTGGTCATCTCCTGCACTGTGTCCGCAGTCTCTGGTCATCTCCTGCACTGTTTTTCTGCAGTCTCTGGTCATCTCCTGTACTGTGTCCGCAGTCTCTGGTCATCTCCTGTACTGTGTCCGCAGTCTCTGGTCATCTCCTGTACTGTGTCCGCAGTCTCTGGTCATCTCCTGTACTGTTTCTGCAGTCTCTGGTCATCTCCTGTACTGTGTCCGCAGTCTCTGGTCATCTCCTGTACTGTGTCTGCAGTCTCTGGTCATCTCCTGCACTATTTCTGCAGTCTCTGGTCATCTACTGTACTGTGTCCGCAGTCTCTGGTCATCTCCTGTACTGTGTCCGCAGTCTCTGGTCATCTCCTGTACTGTGTCCGCAGTCTCTGGTCATCTCCTGTACTGTGTCCGCAGTCTCTGGTCATCCCCTGTACTGTGTCCGCAGTCTCTGGTCATCTCCTGTACTGTGTCCGCAGTCTCTGGTCATCTCCTGTACTGTGTCCGCAGTCTCTGGTCATCCCCTGTACTGTGTCTGCAGTCCATTGGTTCAGAATATTTTTTTTTCTTGTTTTTCACCTCTAAAACCTAGGTGCGTCTTATGGTCAGGTGCGTCTTATGGAGCGAAAAATACGGTAAGTGAATGTTCAATTTGCAAAATTAAGCTTTTTTACTCTTTTAGTAAATAAACCTCAGAAAGTCGGAAGCAAATGATGGAGCAATTACAGAACTGCAATTTTAGGTGTCCGTTTATGAACCAGCGGTAATAGATCGCTGCTCAGTTCTCCGGCATTCTCGGAGAACACAGTTCTCCTGTGAATGCAGTTTATGAAGCAGTTCTCCGAACGAAGGGAGAGCGGTCTCCAAATGCTGGAGAACGGTATACAAACTCTGGAAAACGGCTGATTTTACTATAATCTCGCGAGATTACAGTAAAGAGATCAGTTTACTAAACAGAGGTAAATTATCTCTGCTTAGTTTTCGGTCCCTCTGATTCTCCAGCTCTGGGCTGGAGAATCTGGAGGGAGAACATAGATCTCCAGCGAAGGGCTGACATGATCTCCTGAGTGTCATAAACTGTGAATGACCAGAGAATAGCTGAGATCCGTTAAATCGCAGCTATTCTCTGTGTCATAAACGGACACCTATATGTGAGGATGGCCAGGCCTTGTTTCTGCCTATGCTTGGCTAAAACCGGATATAGATTAATGAGAAAACTGTTTGTAATTTTGTTGCATGTTTTACATTGCTGTTACTTTCTTATTCAATTGTTATCATACTACAGGAAGCCATTCAGAATTGTAAACTGAAACTGAAATGAGAAACATCTCATGTTAAAAGGCATAATTTTTACATATTTAAAGTGTTACTAAAGGCTAACTATAACTATTCTTAAAAATGCTCCCCCACCTCCAACCTATACTGCATACCTTGTATAGATAAGATCTCTATACTCATTTTTTAAATCCAATTTGATCACATGATTCAGCAGCTCCAGCTCCTCTTTGCAATGAATTGCTCTACAACAGCTGTGAATTCCTGGAGTTGTGACCTCACCCATGGCCCATACTGGTTGGTGCTTCCCCTCCTCTCCCCTGCAGCAGCTCCTCACTGACACAGGGGAGTCGAAGTTGCTGGATCTTGTGGCCAGGCCGGATTAAAAAAGGTAAGTTTAGATATTTTTTTACAGGATATACAGGTTAGGTAGGGGAAGGGAATGCTTTTAAGAAAAGTTATAGTTAGCCTTATCTTCCACTTTAAGAATGTAGAACTAAATCCATGTATAATACAAGTGTGAACAAGCTGCAGTCTTGTTGCTCCTTGAAGATAGGTGTTGAGGTGTATATATTGGTGTATAAAATATGGTAATTCCCACTTGTTTATACCTGTTACATTATTATGAGCACTATCCTCTTTCATATATGCATCATTTGAATATTGTCTGTATCAGAAGGCTGTCATTTTTACAAATGAAACAATCCACAGATTCCATTTTTTTTACAGAAACAAATGAAGCGCTATCTTACCTGCATGAAGCGTCCTCCAGATGTGCCTAGATTGGCTATGGTGAGGCTGCCTTGAGTGAAGACTGAGATGGATGTCAACAACACGTTTATTAAACTGACCCATGAACAGGTCAAGACGTTTTAGCGGGCTAGAAACTTCAACACGATGTTCATCAATTGGAGAAGAACACTGGGAGGCATTCCGCAGATATGTCTGGAAATGTAACACTTAAAATCAGCAATCAAGACACAACATGACACGAATCTTAGAGATGCACTTAAGCTCAGATTAACATGGCAAAATAATGTCAACAGAGCTACAACATTGCAAACATGTATATGACAGGTTGGTACAAAACAAAAGACCTATTGTGCACATTACTAACAGGGTAAATCATGTACAGTTTAGTATATATAATATTGCTGTAATAGATTGCTCCTGATTGGTTCTAGAAAGCAAGCACTTTGAACATGATTTGTTGCCAATTTTTATGGTAAGACTTTTATGCAAACCATCCCAATTAACCACTTGCCTACCAGGCACTTATACCCCCTTATTTACCAGGCCAATTTTCAGCTTTCAGCGCTGCCGCACTTTAATTGACAATTGCGCGGTCATGCAACATTGTACCCATATGAAATTTTGATCATTTTTTTCTCACAAATAGAGCTTTCTTTTGGTGGTATTTAATCGCCACTGGGCGCTTTACTTTTTGCGCTATAAATAAAAAAAGTGCAAAAAATTTGAAAAAAAAAAAAATTTCTTTGTTTCTATTATAAAATTTTTCAAACAGGTAATTTTTCTCCTTCACTGATGTGCGTTGATGAGGCAGCACTGATGGGCACTGATAGGCGGCACTGATGGGCACTGATAGGCAGCACTAAAGGGCACTGATAGGCAGTACTAATGAGGTGGCACGGATAGGCGGCACTGATAGGCAGCACTAATGAGGTGTCACGGATAGGCGGCACTAATATGCAGCACTGATAGGCGGCACTGATAGGTGACACTGATGATGGGTACTGATAGATGGCACTGACTGGCATCACTGCTGGGCACTGACTGGCGGCCCTGACTGGCACAACCGCTGGACACTGACTGGTGGCACTGACTGGCAGCACTGCTGGGCTGCACTGGTGGGTGGCACTGGTGGGCAGCACTGGTGGGTGGGCACAGGTGGGTGGCACTGGTGGGCACAGGTGGGTGGCACAGGGCACAGGTGGGGCACAGGTGGGTGGGCACAGGTGGGTGGCACTGCTGGGCACAGGTAGGTGGCTCTGGGCACAGGTGTGTGACACTGCAGAGTGGCACAGGTGGGTGCACTGCTGGGCACAGGTGGGTGATCTGCTGGGCACAGGTGGGCGGAGCTAGTGGGCGCACTGCTGGGCACAGGTGGGCGGAACTTGCGGGTGCCACTGCTGGGCACCGATCATCAGGGTGATCATCAGTGCCCTGATGATCGGTGCCGATCCTCGCTCTGACAACTGCCGGTTCTCGGCAGTACTTTCCTCACGATCTGACAGCGTGAGGAAAGTGCAGCCGAGAACCGGCACTTGCATTTCCCTCTGATCAGCGTGTCATTGGACACCGCTGATCACGTGGTAAAAGGCCGCTGTGATTGGCCTTTTACCACATCACGTGATCAGCTGTGTCACAGCGATCACGGAGATGCCGGGGTGCGCGCCCCCTGGGGCGCGCACGAGAGCGCGTTCTGGGGAGGACGTCATATGACATCCACTCAGAACTGGCCGGCCGCAGTGCAGCCGTCATTCGGCTATCTGCGGTCGGCAACAAGTTAACCACTTCAAGTCCGGACACTTTTACCCCCTTCCAGTCCAGTCCAATTTTCAGCTTTCAGCGCTATCACACTTTGAATGACAATTGCACGGTCATGCAACACTGTACCCATATGAATTTTCTAGCATTTTTTTGAGTCAGATAAAACTTTATTTTGGTGGTATTTATTCACCACATTTATTTATTTTTGCTAAATGAAAAAGTCCAAAAATGTGGAAAAAAAAAGTGTTTTTCTTATAAAGTTTTGCAAATAAATAATCTTTCTTAAAAGATCTTGGACAAAATGTATTCAGTTATCTTTTTAGTAAAAAAAAAATAACCCAAATTAGTTTATAACCAAAAATTATAATTTTTAAAATTTGTTTTTTAAATTTTTGGATTTTTTTATATTATTATTATTGGGTTTTTTTTTGTTTTTTTTTTACATACTGTCACCCTAGCAGTACAGTGTCACCATAATGACACTGTACTACTTGTGGAGGGTGATGAATATTTTTTTTTTTTTTACACTGATTGCTTTTACACCCATAAAGGCCGTAAAAGCAATCATTTCTCTTTCTCTCTGGCTGCATTCTTGCAGCCATTGAGAAATACTGTGAGCTGTGATTGGTCACAGCTTGTCACATGGTACAAGGCTGTTGTGAATAGCTTTGTACCATGTGACCTCTGTGCTCATTCACAGATTTCACATGTAGTGAGCAATGATGTCAGAAGTGACATCTTGCTTACTAATCTTCATGTGATCACTGATTGGCCAATCAGTGATCACATGATTGGGATCTCACACAGAGTTCCCGTATAACGATCGGTGTTCCACTGTGACCGGAGGACACAGCGGGCACTGGATCACAGTGCAGCACGCTCCCAGGGAGCGCGCACAGGTGGGGAGCTGGAGGCCGTTTATAAACGACCACCTGACCCTGCACTGCTCCTGTTCGGCTGTTTATATACATAGGCCGGACGGGAAGTGGTTAAGGCCTAATTCCAGACAGTAAATTTTGTTTTTGTTGTGCATAAAGCAGGGAAGCGTTAGCATTTCTGTTAGGTAATTTTCCTGTAAATTATCCCACTTGAGACATTTTTGTTTTATGTCCCATCTCTGTCCTGAGAATTTTATGAAAAATTACTCCTCTGGCATTTTTGTACATGCTGATTTTAATCCTATGTAAGTGCAATTCCCCAATACATTTTTAATACTGGTGGTTTTACATTATGTGGAGCATTTCTCTATTGCATGTGCTTTATTGCGAGTTCTGGCTATACTGATTTATACTGAAGGGTCTGGAGCCATTACCTATGAATCGTTTTGGATGACTCCTTGCTACACTTTTGGAATGCTGTGAGGACCATTCATATCCATGATGTTACCAATATGACATTAAAGAGCATTGATTGACCACTCTTAGTAAGTGGTCACAACCCTTCTGGTAAGCCTTGCATACAAGTGGATGGTGTCACACTGGTTATATGAAGTTCTCTGGTTTCATCACAGCACGTGCGACTGATCTAATTTGACTTTATTAGAGACTTTCCACACGGTATCATTATAATTTATTATGTAAAATTCCTATTAGTAAGATTTAGGATTTTACTGGTTGAGCTCTGCGCTATTTGTTTTACACTACTTTGACATATCTAGTATCGCGGTATTGTGTACAACTGCTATTAGGTTGCAATATTGGCACTTTTTTCTGAGCACAGATTTTTTTGTTGTTGATATTTTAAGCATAAAGTTTTGTCTTTACAGGCAGATCTTAATTTTTAAGTTTTTATTCTCAAAAACAAAGCCATTTTATATTTTTAATTTTACACTTTAAATGGGAACAGTAGTCTTTTTAAAAACATTTTAATATATACATCAGAAAGTGAACAGATTTATATTAATAATCTGGCCAACTCACCTTGGCCTTCATACATGCTGATTACATATGCAGGTTCTGCTTCCCGATTTCATAACAAGTCTAGCAAATAGAGTCCACCTCACGAAAACAGGCAATGCAGTCTCTAACTAAGTAAAATGCCCACAATGTTCTTGCTATCCAAAGACCACATACTGTTTGCCCAGGCTTTATGTCAAAGTAATAAGATGACATGTTAAGTATAAACTTCACTGATATATCCCCCTAAAGTGTATTTGAAGCCACTAGTTTTTAACTTTCAGAGTAATAAACATGCATTTTTAAGCAGATTGGTATCTTAAAAGAAATGTTTTCATAGTAAATGTAATTTGAAAGTTGGACTTCTCATGCACCCTGCTAGACAATGCTGAAGGGAGTAGGAGGGTCTGAGCAGACAATTTACATGAGTAACCTAAAAACAGATTGAGCAATGTGCTGGCAATCTAAAGGTGTGTGGGTGGTGCTAAACATGGCTATTCAGTTATAGGGCAATTAACAATGCCAGCATCCAAGCAGCTACAGTAGCAGCAAGACTGCAGTGATTGTGAAGTGTGTTGTCATCCTGTCAAAGGAAGGTCCTATTCAAAGATTCTACTGGCCAAATCAACAGGTATTTACCAAATGTAACAGGGGATACCTAAAAACACAGAGAGCCTCGTCCTTCTGGTATAGGCAGCACATATCACTTATGTTTTTTTATAGCTTGACCACAGTTCCAATATAACCTGTTTTATTTGAAACGATTTCTAAGTATAATTGGTATTATTTTTATTCCTGGGAGTTAAAGTTGGGAGTTTTCCACAGTTGTAGAAAGAGTTCTAATAAAAAGTTCTACCATAAATCATGGAAGAAACGCTGTATTTGCAGGAGTTATAAATATTAAAACAGGTATATTTTTGCAATGTGATGATTCATTCTAGCATCACCTTCTCCTCAACCTAATCAAGGGCTGTGCAGTTATTTCTGAGGCTAAAAATAAGTAAATGTCTGTACTATTTCTACTGCAATACAGTTCATTCTATTTTCAGGTGTTTAATATAATTTTGCAGGCACGTCTTATATAATCTCCACTAATGTCCTTATTTGATTCCTCGCAGACTAGCTACTAATATAGTCTACAGAGCTCATTTAAATTCTATGGCAGTGTATTGCGCTTCAGACTGCTTCTCTGTGAGCATGTTAACTGCCCAGTAAAACTCAATAGGAATCTATTAATTGGTAATGTGGTTAGTATTGATGATATCCTTTCATTTCAGAAAGATGATACACAACGTATTTAGACATCCCATGAGCATGAACATCAATATCTAAAAAGTCAGTAATTTTTTTTTTTTTTACCTTGCCACTTTCTTTGTCTGTGTTATATAATGTTATTTTATTTGTACTTTAGTTTGTTTAAGTGGTCAGTGTGATGTCTCTTTTAAAGGGATTTTTTCCTTCCAGCTAAAAAGAGGTAAACTTCTTCAACTGGTAGGCAGTGGTATGATGTGAAGGTCACCAATCTCATAGATCAGCAACCAGCTTTCAGGTTACTAAAGCATTAGAAGCTGCTCCTCTTACTGTGATTCTAAATGAAGATACCATAGTTTCCTTTGGAAGTTTCCAAGGCTCAGTCAGTGAGCCTTTATTTGAAACCAAAGAAACCAAGTAGCTCCATCTGCATATAAATGTAAAGGGATTTCCATTTTCTAGCTATAAGGGGAAACTCTTTTAATAGTAAGGAGTTCACAAGCATATTAAAAAAAGAGCTTCAGCCAATTTTTTAGAAAGTCTAAAATGTAAAAAAAAGATACGTCTTGGGAGTTGTATGTTTACTTTAAATATTGATGTAATTTATTTAATGTTTACACTTTAATTCAGGCCAGATAGTAAGCTGTGCTGTTTGTCTGCTTGTCTTCTCCCCTTGTCCATTCACAGAACACATTGTGTTCTGTGAACCAATCACAGAATACAAAGCATTCTGTGAATAGGAAAGGGGAGAGGAGATGAATTAACAACACTGCAGTTTCTCTGTCTGAGAGTCACAGCCTGCCAGAAGTATAGAGCTATACTATCTGGCCTTAATGAAATTGTAAATCCCTTCTAACATTCTGCTTAAACTTTGTGATTTGTATAGTACTGCTTGGACTTTGAAGAAGGGGACATACCCCGAAAGCTTGTCCTCAAAATTGTATGTTAGTGCAAATAAAAAAAGTATCACGGACAGTACTCAATTGTTTCTGTCGCAAATGCACTAATACAGCTACAATCACCTCAAGCAAAATGGAAGATACTGCATATAGCCGCATAAAGAAGCAGTTAACCAACCTAATCACAAAGGAAACACAGATCAACAGTGATATTTTCTTTCTCTCAAGATGCAAAAAGAGGAATCTCATACCACAAGGCCTCCGGATTAAAAATCCTTGCGTAAATACAATCAACTCTCCTTATGCAGAAGGACTTTGCAGACGCACCAGTGAGAGATTAAGGAATCACCTCATTCACAAACTGTATGGAAAAAGGGTAACTATCAGGATACAAAAGCAGTCTTTGTTTGAAACCCTAACATCATTGGACCCTACCAACATTAACCAAATCAAGAATGAATTGGAAACTTTACAAAGACAAACACAAAAACTTGCCATGAATGGGAAACAAAAAAAACTTCAGAAGCTGCACCAAGAGCAGACCTTTTGGATACAACCTAAACATAAAAGCAACCCAATATCTATACCTCTTACCATCAGTGACCTGGAATCTAATCGGGAATCCCAAGGGATCCCTTGTGTAAATGCTGACCCAACTGAAAATGTGGATATAACAGAGGAACATGGAATCATCAACTTGTCAAATCATAAACTTTCCGAACCAGAATTAACTATCCTCTCCAAAGGCCTTACATTCTGCTCAACCACCAAATT